GGGTTTATGGTTTCTGGGTTTAGGGTTTCAGGCTTTGAGGTTTCTTCTTGGTTCAACTCTTTAGAGTTTCTGAGTTTGGGGCTTTGGGCTTGGGGGTCTAGGATTGCTGAGGTTTCTGGCTTTCGGCTTTAGGAGTTTAGGGTTTCCGGGTTCAAGAAGAGTGGTGGCTTGTGTCGCGAGTTCGGCCCCGCAAACACGGAACCAAGTCCAAAACCACCCAAAAAAGCTTCAAACCCCTACCGCAGGACAGACACAATCAACCAGACAAAAAACGCAGACGCAGTCAGCAAGACATCCAACACTGCCGGGCTGAAAGCTCTGCCCAAATACCCACAGCTTCAAATTCGAAACTCCGGACCAAACGACGGAAATCAAAACAGATGCAGCGAGCTCGGAATAATGGGGCGGTCTTATAACAAAAAATAGCTATAGAATACATAAATGCAATGTACGTACGTACGTACGTAGGTATGTATGTATGTATGTAACTATGTATGTATATGTTCGTGTTTATGTTTTTACCTTCATCTGCCAGGTCAGGCCCCTTCCCGTTCATCGCAGTCTCCGGCCATGTCGCCAAGGCCATGGCATGCGATTGTTGCAGGCGTCTGTGCGTGCTTTTTCCTGGTGTGCTTCGTGAGGAGTTCCGGAACAGAAGGGTCGAGTCCACAAGCGGCGGTTCCTGCGGGCTTTCCGGGCTTCGGGCCGGGTCCGGCTTTGGGGCCTGGCCCGTCTGGCAGGCCACCACGTGGTCCAGGGCCACCGTTAGGAGCATCGCGTGGGAAAGGCCCCAGTGGCCCCACCCCACAGTCCCAGGTCGCACCCAATTGGGCCTTTTAAGGATGCTCTTCTTGAAAAATTCGGGAGGCTGTCTAGCAGCCACATCCTGCACATCGTCTCTGTTGTATTTTTACCAGCGATCTGCAAAGCAGCATCTGCTGGATGAGCAATGGCCTAAACTCGCCGGGGGTTAGCAGCGGGTTGGGGTTCTGTGGGCCCAGGTCACAGCTCGGATTCCTCTTTCGTTAACGCCGTGGGAGTACCCAGAAAACAATCTCCACTACTCAATGCGACTTTTTATTGACTGCCCGTCTGACAGCCTCTTCATCGCTCACGTTGAGACCGCCTGGGCGTCGGCTCGAGCCATTTAACTTGGTTGGGAAGCAGGCCAGCATCATCTCAGGGAGTGCACCTTTGTGCCAAAGACGAACGCCTGCCTTCACGATGAGTTTACCAGTCGTAGCAGATTTTGAGGGCATAGAAGATTTAAGTCGTATTACAACCCGCCGCACCTCTCCGATTTTCATGCCAGGGAGGCGGGGCTCGGCCTGAGATTTTGGATTTTTGCTGTCGAGACTTCATGAGACTTCTAGGCCGGCCGGAGGCTATGACGATGTGCGCGCCTCAGAGACATGTATGTGGCATTATATGGCAGAGAGCAGGTGTAGTAAGAGAGTGCTGGAGCCAGGTCCTTTGAGCCAGCGGACACAGCATCATGTAACCAGATGGTCTCAGAGGCGTGGCGGCGGGGCGGGAAAGCCTGCATTCCGCCAGAAATTCAGCATGCTCGGAGAAGAGTAGGAGTCAAAGAATAAGAAGAGCGTGTCTGTGTTTGTGTATGTACGCCGCTAAAAATGGTGCTACCCGTTGCCGCTGGTAGTTTTGCCGTATGGGTGTATGGGCGAGTGGCAATGACAGTAGTTGGGGGGTTTGGGACCCGCTGTTCGTGCGGACATCGAAACGAACAGCATCTGGCATGTAATGTAACCTCATCCATTGCCGTAGCTTGTTCCTGTGAAGCCATGAGACGCCAACGAGCAGTCTCAAACGATGAACAACTAGCACAAAATCTAATGGAATCCTCTTCCAGGATGTGCTGCGAACATGCAAAGCAGGTATCACAAGCAGCCTTTGTAAGCGTTAAATGCATCTGATCTTTGCGAATCATGATCTCTGGAGGTCGTGAAGCGACCGAGCTCCGATCTCAGCACCTGGGGCAGCACAATGCCGCGGAGAGCAGGGATCTCGCATGCAAGGCCTGCGAAAGCGGTCTTCAGGCCTGCTTGCAGAGAGGAGCGAAGTGAGCCCAAAGATGCCCACGGCAAAGGCGAGGACTTTGCATTCCAACGTCGGCTCTCCTGGAAGGCCGCATGCACTACGACAGGCCATAGGCCTCATGTAATTCCTCTTGTGCTGGCCAGGATCTCTCGAACCCGAGGTGCCTGCAGAGTCATCGTGGCCGCAAGCAGACTTGCGCGAGTGCAACGGCCTCTGCAGGCCTTCTGCGCCGACGTCCCCAGTAGCGGATGGCATCTCAGTCGCAACGAATTCCCCATCTCAACGGCGTAGAGCTCTCCTCAGAGCTTTCCGCGATTTGCGGTCGAGAACGTAGTCAGGTGAGCCTCAGAGCAGAACGCGACGGACTCCCAGCCCAGGACACTGCTCAGGGTCGCGCAAGGGCCCATATCAGCTGCAAGCTGCCGAATTCATGCTGCAGGCTGCCGGCTGAAAATCGGAAGGTTGCAGGGGATGCAAGGAATTTCCTGAGACATAGTCATGCCAGGATCGCCTCAGGTAGAACCTCCGGAGGATACAGCCAGGCCTGGCATTGCTGTCTTGTCTGTTATCGTGTTAGTTGTACCCCTCTCAGGTACCTTTAAAAGGCAGTCAGAGCCCCTCATGTCTCAACCGCAAAGCTGGGACATACACGATGCAGGTGCGTGCGACCATCAGTTCGGGGGGCATCATGATGAGACAAGACAGTAGCTCTCATAGAAATTCGCCACCTTGCTGCGCCTCCGGACAGCCCGCAATGCTACTGCTTAACGTGCGGCACAGGTCATCCGAAATGTCTTGAAATTCATCCAATGTGATCCAATGTCCCAGCATGACGACCAACAGGCAATGTATCATGTAGAATTCGCCCACCTGTGCCGACAGTCGTCGTGCATCCTGTATCCCATGCTCTTGAAGCACAGCCAGCAGAAGTGCTTGAACCACAGCTTAAGCATTATTCAGACTCGTGACGCCACTCGCTAGAGTTCAGCCCACGAGCACCGCAACGTTGAAGTGCAGCTTTCGTAAGGGCCAATGCAACTCACATCGTCTCCGACCAGCGGGCGACGCCTTCGAAGGCAGGCATCAGTGCTTCAGAGTTCAGGGTTCGTCGACAACCGCGTGCAACTGCAAAGTACATCGGGGTTAGGTTTCACGCATCCAATGGAGGAAAATATTCTGTACCGGCGTAGCAAAGCATTCGAGCCACACATTGAAAATCCTACAAGCCTGTACCGTAGGACACCACTGGCGAGGAAGCGTGGGGCACATGTAGGTGTCCCTACATGTCTTTTTCGTACATACGTACGTACATACATCCTTTTGTGAAGCCGGCTAATCCGGATTTATCAGACTTGCAAAGCAACCACGGCCAGCCCCGCTGTTTTATCGGCTTTGCGAGTCTAAGCTCCCATAGTCCCTAGGTGGTCCAACCGCAGGCCTGCAACTCTACGAGCTACACTGGCCTACTGGTCTGCCGTGCACACTTGGCACAGACCTAGAAAGCCAGGTACAACAACCTCAAGCTCAAGGCTTGAGGCAAAATATGAGATATGTACACAACATGCACTGAAGCACAAAAGGCAGTTCTGCAGACATGTCAGGAAGCAAACTGGGCTGCTGCGGTCACTACAGCTCACAGTCGCCCCTCAGCCAAGACTCTGGGCGCTTCCCAGGCATCTCTCAATGCCCGAAGGGCACGTGCGCGCGTGTCGTTCGGCGGCTGGGCGAAGCCCGCACGAAACGGTCGACGACATGTCACGCTCACGACAAGCAAACCCTCCAAACCTCCACTTCCAAAAGCCCTGCACGGCCAGGCCGTCAGAGGTGAGGCTCATGAAACGAGCTGTCTCGTGTCTGCATTGCAGAACTGCAGAAAACTTACTCTACAAGGCTGCATGCAGCTAGCCAAGCCTACGCCCCACACTATGTGCCGCCCAACACCTACGGCTACGCTGTGCTTAGCGTGGCCACGACAGAACAAGGTCAAACGGGTAACCGCGCCCGAACAAGGCCCGCAGGCCGTGCGCCTTTCTGGCAAGCTGCAACCGAACAACGTCGGCTGGTCAGCTGCGCGAGGAGAACCTTGGGTGGAGCTTCACAAGGGCCGGCTGGCCACGCTCTTAGTCCAGCGCTGGAGCACACCAGTCGCGTAGACAACCACTGTGGCAAATTTTACTCTATGTGACCGCGGCAAAACAAAGTGCCTGCGGCTCCTGCTCGTGCCGCGCAGGCAGGCACACCTTCACACCGTGGCGGCGGGAACCGCTCCCTTCCGCTGCGTTAGAGCCAGCCGCAGCACCCGGCCGCAGAGGCTGCTTGGCCTCGTCGAGGGAAGCAGCGTTTGCGAAATGTTCTTCAAAGTCCGCGACGAAGTCAAGGGCCATCTTCGAGTGAGGCCCCAGAACCGGCTGGACGCCACACTCTGGGTTGGCTTTGCTGCTAGTCGTCCAGTTCAAGGAACCGACCACCGCTTAGCGTGGTGAAGGCCTTTGAGGCCACGCCTACGATGGCACCCCGGCCATCACCCACGTAGGGTTGCGAACTGAGGTTCCGCACGCGACCTTCACAGAGGCGCCAGCGGCGGCCAGCTGCTTGAGGCTTTGAAACTGAAGTTTCGTCTGCGCGCACTGGGACGTGCTGGTCAGCCAACACCCAGGAGCGAGCTCCTTTCTTCAGCGCTTCTTCAAGCGCCTTTATGGCGTGGCGGCAGTCGAAACTGTATGCCCGAAGGTATATACAGCATCTCCATTGTCGAGAAGCAAGGGACCGGCTGTCCGCCTGCCAAGTAGGTCTCGCTGACAAAGGTGTCGACCGGCCCCTTACGAGGTGGAGCCAGGTTTCGCCGGGACGCCCTTCCGACTGTCGCCGGGGCGTGTGCGGGCACCGCCACCATCGCCTGTGACGTCTGGTCGGGAAGTGTCTCTGTCGGAGGAGGGGCTCCCACCGCCAACTCCGACGTGCCGGTCCCGCCCGCGATCGGCGGCAAGATGCCGAAGTCGAGGGCTGCCTGCAGGGCGACTTCCCTGCGTCTGCACCTACCCTCTTGGAGATAGGCGCGGCAGCCGCACGCGGCCCTCAAGGTGGACCCAGACTCGGTTGGCCTTCAGTCTTCTTGGAGACTATTTCGTAAGTTGCTTGTGCCAGCGAGAAACTGGACCAACCTGGCGCCGTGGCCTGTTCAGGACGGTGCGGGACAGCGACAGCCACGGCCTTGCCCGCGACCTGAACGGTCCGACTGGCCTCCAAGCCGACCACTCCTGTATCACTTCGGCTGAAGTGATAGCCACGGCGTCAGGGTCTCATCCATCACGGCGATGGACCCACGATGCAGGCTAAGCAGCACAGGTGCGGACATAGCCACCGGTCCACGCACTGATATTGCCATTCAGTGCGCGAATCAGCCTGTTCGCGGCCCGGCATGTCACCGCCCAGGCACAGGCGATGCCTGTACTATCCTGTACTGAGGTTGAGGTTCGCGGCGCAGAGACCGCGCCTCGCGGGCCGCAGGTCGTGCTGCCTGCAAACCGCGTCCCCCTTTTCCCTGCTTGCCTTTCGACGCCTTGCCGGACTCCCGGTAGGGCTGGTCATGGCGCTCTGCACGCGAGCCCTGCTTTCGGCCTCCGCACTTCGAGCGGGCACCTGCCAAGAGGGGGGCGATGTGGTCCGCATCCGCTTGAACTTGTTCCTTCAACCGAATCGTCGGACGATTTGCTTTCCTCCCGGAAATCCAGCCCGCGGCGAGAGTTGGGCATGCCGAGTGTAACCACGCCGGCTTCTGACGACCAGGTACTGATTGTGTAGCATTTCCTCCGGTTCGAAAGATTCCAGGCCCGACAACGGGGCATTGCCAACCGGCGATCCGGAGCGCGTGTCGCAACGCCGTGTCACGGGCCTTGCAGGCGATGGCCTTCGCCTCACGACGCTCCTCTCGTCTCGTCTCCCGGGCGATAAAGTCCGCCTCAATGGACTCGTCGTCGAGGAGCTGGCGATCCTTAACGCTGGCACAGTAGCGCGGGAAGTCGGCCTTGCCCAACACTCCTGCCATTTCGCCGGCGCTGTCCAGGGGCGACATTATCGTGCAGGATGTACCTAGGCGCTGCGTGGTCCTGGGCCGGATGCATATACGGAACCGGCGCTGCTTGTAGCCCAGGCACCTGAACCGGCCGCCACGATGCTTGGGTCTGCGGCAGAGGCGCCTGACGGCGCCTGTGGTGGCGGCCGCCGAAGGCCAAGGTTTCACCTATAATAAAAAAAACATCTGGTACAGTGCGGCTTCTGGTCCCAGGTTCTTTTACTTATCTTATACAGTGGGGCTAGTGGTCCCAGGTTCCATTTCCAGGCCAGCCAGGTCAGGTCAAGGTTTCACGTAACCCGTCCTGGGTTCCATTTCCAGGCCAGCATCCCATCAAGAGACGGGCCCCCATCGGAGCCGCGCTTAAGGGCATCGTCCAATGCAGCGAGACGCGCCCGCAGAGGAGAGCCACCGCGTCCAAGAGCCTCCGCGCCCGGAATGGCCGCGGACCCGCCTTGGTCGGCGGCGGGCCTACGTGGGCAACTTGCTCGGTTCTCCCAGCCATGTTGGCCAGCGCTCGCTGCAGCGACACTCCCGCCAGCCCGGCCGGAACGGCGGAGGGTGAGCTCCAGACCTTGCCCGGACTACTGCGACCCAGGGCAAGAATGAGCTTGCCGATAGCCTGACTCTCCTTTTGGGGGCCAGCAGCATCGCTGGCGTCCCCACTCTCCCTAATCGCCGCGACCGAGAAGCGGTTCCGCAGGCCACGGGCCATCTTGGTGGGATGCCAATCGCCCTCGATCTGGCCGAACTCCTCGTGTATGCGTGTATGTATCTATGTATGTATGTAGGCAGGTAGCTAGGTAGCTAGGTAGCTAGGTAGCTAGGCAGCTAGGTAGCTGGGTAGGTAGGTAGGTAGGCAGGCAGGTAGGTAGATAGCTCTGTATTGCATATCCATTCCGCCATGAAGTCCTCGATTTGCATTCTGGACACGCAATGCCGTTCATGATCCATGTTTGATTTGTCTGACTACTAGTAGCTGCAATGAAGCTTGACCCATGCAGCTGATTAAATATTGGTCCATGCTTCCTTGTTTATGTTATCACTGGAACGCCGTGCATTGCGGCTGCTGTATGCATTCGCTGTGCTTTGCACAGTTGGATCACTACAACATTGTCAACTCCTTCCAGCAAGGCCGGCCGTGGCACGTGGGACTGGGATGTTGCTAGCCACCGAGTCTATAACGCAATTGGGCAGTCGCTGTAGAGGACTTGCCAATGTGGAGCAGATCATAATCTACGTGTGAAGCCGAGCATCGCTGCAGATCTCGCAATGCAGTGTTGCATTCGGTTGAATGCATTCAAGTATGCCAAGGACACAGACCATGTGGGTGAGTCTGACGGGGACGAGGACGGAAGACATGCAGCAGGAATCTGAGTCGCTGTCCGCAAACGCAGATTTAAGTTGGAAGGTAGGGTACCGTGTAGGAGAGTGTCAGCTAAGTCGGACTGTCAAAGCTGACCTTCGTGAGAGTTTGTCCGGTTCTGTTCGTGTCAGGTTACCTGGAGACGCCGGGCTTGGCTGCTTGACTCGTATTTGGATTCTTCCGGACCAATTAGACTCGTAGCGAAGGGACCCGTTTCCTCGAAGTGGCTCAGGCTGAGGCTGCTCTGCGACCTCTGCGTGAATCTGTGTAAGTGTATCCTGGAAGCAAGTGGTGCTTTAGGTTTGAGTGTTTAGAGGCGTGACCATGGAAGGATTGGACTTCAGATCCAGGCTAACGGGTCAAGGAGGAAATTTGTCCAGAGGTGTCTCGGAGCACCTAGCTTGGAAGCCAGGTGTTCGGGTATAGTGTGTTCCTTTTGGAATTCCGAGTGTATTGTCGTCTTGACATGTCCAAGCACGTTCTCGAAATTTTCTGGATAGAGGTCCTTTGTTTAGAGCAAGAACCGTCACCAGAGTATTCCCTAACAGGCTTGACCACATCCGCACCTGCTCTGAAGTTATACTTCACCTGCGATGCGAGAACTAAGAACAGCAGCGCCTGCCTAGGCAAGCCGTGCCTGAGAATTTAGGTGCGAGCAAAATTCTTGACCGGAGCCTTTCAGGATTCCTAGGGGTTTGTGGGTGTGCAAGGCTTAGGGTTTCGGGCGTGCATAGCCATCTCCGCTTACACTGCCACTGCATGGGGTCAGGATCACCCACTACTAGGGTTCAGGCTTTAAGGCTTAGGGCTTAGGGTTGCCGCTCGTGGCTTTGTGGAGATGGGATGGCAGCGGCTCGAGTGGCCGCTTGCTGGCCGCTCGAGCCCGGAACGCCTTGAGGGCGGTCCGATGCTGCTTGCGAGCCCAAGACACGACGTCCGTTGTGAGTTAACAGAATGCAACACACACAAACACACCTAAGCAGCTCGGTGTTTTTCCTGAACTCACTGCTGAGTCTTGTCTGAGTCTCACACGCCTTTTAAATCCCTCGTGGACAGGTACCCAATGCGGGGTCAAAAGCGTGAGTGGCCGATGCACTTTCCAGGCTGTGTCAAACTGCAGGTCGAGGCTTCGATGACTTATGGCTTTGGAACCTCAACACAGATGCTCAGCTTTGCGTGGGAGTGCCTTCACGAAATCGCCCACTATCCAATTTGTGTACCTACTAAAGCTAGTGGGCATTTATCTGTGTATGTCTATCGATCCGCCTAGGAGAATCTTAAGTGTTGTCTGAAGGTTGAAACTCAGCGTAGGTGAAAGGAACAGCTCGGGTCCGAAGTCCGCATGGCTGAGTTCGAAGTGGTTAGAGGTGCGAGTGCTTCTGCCCTGCGAGTGAGGCTCCAAGGAACGGCTGCCGTGAAGGCAGAGAGCGATGCTTTGGTGTCGAAGACAGACAACGTGGAGGTCCGTGCTAGCTTAGGCGGCGGAGGACTGGGCGGGCTTCTGGGTGGTGCGGCCCGAAGTTTGCTGACAAACGAGTCTTTCTTCCTGCAGACCTTGCAGTGCAAAGGCGGCTCTGGTGAAGTGCTGGTAGCACCGGAAGATCAGGGAGACATCGCGATCGTTCAACTACCAGGTCCCAACATATCAGCGGTCTTGGTGACCAGTGGTGCTTTCCTCTGTGCAGAAACTGGGGTTGACGTGAACACGCGAGTGCAAGGTGCATCACAAGGACTCTTTAGTGGAAGCGGCTTCTTTCTCATGCGCTGCAGTGGTCATGGGAAGTTGTCCATCAGCTGCTTCGGCTCTTGTGTTCGATACGATCTACAACCTGGTGAATGCCGACAGGTAGACAATGGACACCTTGTAGCATGGGGGGACTCAGTCAGCTACAGTATAGGAATGGCATCAGCTTCGGTCTTCAGCAGCTTGGCAAGCGGCGAGGGCCTGTTGTGCACCTTCACCGGTCCTGGACCGGTTTGGATACAGACACACAAGCCTAAGTCACACGGCTCCTCCCAAAGATCCAGGCCGGCCCCAGGCGGAGCCTTAATTGGTCTTTGTATCTTCGGCTGCTTCATCAGTATCTTCATCATCGGAATATTTGTTATTTTATTCCTTTCCACTGGATCAGAACTTCAACCAAGACGACGATCTCGGAGATTGCCTGATGAATTCTGAAGCAAGAGATATCACAAATTCAAGAGGAGAGCGAGAGAACGAATGAACAAGAGATATTTTCGATTTGGCGAACTTCTTCTCGTAATTTGCCTTTCTAGGGATTCATATGTGTTTGTAGAAAGACTCATTTTTTCGCCAAATAGTATTACTACTAGGGGTTCACTCCTCGTTGGGTGATTGAGGTGTGGGCTCGGTCCTGCAATGGGTTTCTTGGATCCGACATGCCTACGTGGGATGCTTTGTCTTCATAGGCATCTCGTATCTTTATTATCTGAGAAATATGATCTATTAAAATATTATTTTAACTCAGATAGAGAATTATTATCTTCGAAATAAAAAGATATGTGGAATATCTCGATACTTATAATTACGTTACTGATAATTTAGAAATATATTATATTTCGTTAATTTTTGTCGTATTTTACCGGGAATTTCATTAATAGAAAAATTTTTGAGGATTAAATTTAGGACTATTGATTCTAGAAGCTCGATTTCGACTTCTTAATTCTAGGCTTATTTCTTTGTTATTTCTCGGATATATCTGTCTATAATTCATATCGATTTTTAAAACGAGTTGTTCGGAAGAAATTATATAGTTGGAAAAGAATTATATTTGTTATTGAGAACATATAATTGATGGGCGCGTTTTTTTTTTTAATTTTAAAATCTAATTTTGATGAT